ATGTGTTTGGTGTTACCTAAAGATTTCCCCCTCAGGATTCTTTCAATGACAAGTCTTTCTGGTTATATTTTAAAATTTTGTTTTCTTTTATTTTCTTGAATAGTCAGGCCCCATCTTATCTTAAAGACCTTGTAATGTCACATCTCCCCAGTAGAGCACTTTGGTCTTGGGCTGCTGGATTACTTGTTTTCTAGAGTATTTACAGGTAGAATGGGAGGCAGAGCCTTTGGCTTTCAGGGCCTCTCCTGTGGAAACAGCTTTCAGTTTGGATTCAGGATTAAGGTTAGGTTTAAAACATTCCTTTTTAATAAAGCTTATAGTTAGGGCTTGATCTGGTGACCCTGATCCCTCCCTTAGTCATGATGCTGAAATAGGCCTAGGCTGCTTTGGCTTCCCATGATCCACAGAGTGTTTCTTCTTCACTTACTTCTTTTTATACTTTCTACCTGTGTACACACCACTCTGTATTTAATCATTAGTTATTATTAATCTCTGGTTCTTTCTCATAGTGTGTCTTTAGTCCTGATTCCTCGATCGCATCCAGCTCGTTGCAGCAGATGGTTACCCCTCCCTGAGCCTTGTTCTGCTGTAGGTTACTTCCTGTTAAAAGGGGATTTTTCCTTCACCGAGTGCTTGCTCATAGGGTGTCATCTGATTTTGGGGGTTTATTTGTTATTTACTGGTATTGAGGCGACGGTTGTTGTGATTTGGTGCCTTACAAATACAAGTGAATTGAGTTGAATATATCTGCTAACTTCATTGTGTCCTTAATTATATTCTACTAACAGTTCTAGTTCTGGTGCATTTGCCTTATTCAGTGGTTAACTCTGAATTTCCATCTACAACTAGAAAATCAAAGAAAACACAAAAGTCTAATTTCCTATTCGGGACTTGGGAATGGTTTCATTTTCAGTGACAGTTATATTATATGTTATCCAGCTGCTACATCAATCAAATCTTTCTTCTGTCATTCGTGACTTAATAAAGCTTCAGACAGCGACTGTCGTTGTAATCATAAATGTGAAATATTAGATATGCTACCTTTTCCATGATAGAATTACATTTCCACATACTGTCAAAGCTAAATAATGCAATATGGGATAAAGTCATTTGTGTACATAATGAACACTGAGTAATGAGGGTGTGTTCTTCCTTGGCACTGCCTAATGTGATTAGGCAGGCTATCTGCTTTGAACATAACTGTTTTCTGTTACGCAGAGGTTCGAATAAAACCTGGATTAACCGGATTACCTTCATCATTATGTCATGTCATTGTGGCTTGTGTTCAAACCAGATTAACATACCCAGGGGTCGTTTGTTTTTTGTTGTTGTTGCTTTTTGCGCCTCTTTATCTCTTTATCACAGGTGCACAGAACAGACAGAGCATTGCAGAAATGGTCAGAAGTAGGGCTTTATGAATATGAATGGCACATATCACAAAGCAGTGCTGAAAGTTGGCATCTGAGCGGACTATTAATTAAATCTATACCTGTCCTTCTGGTGCAGCCTCCTCTTTTCAGCTCTTTCTCTCTCTCTCTGTGTCTCTTTTTGTCTGACAGAGACAGTGATGGATACAAGGACGGCGACAGCTGAGCTTGGCTGGATATCGTTCCCTGCCAACGGAGTAAGAACAATGTGCAAAGGTGTACTGTGTGTGTGTGTGTGTGTGTGTGTGTGTGTGTGTGCGTGCGCCCTTGGGAAAAAACTGTTTGAGTACACTTTACAGTGGTCCATTAATGAGTCTGTCAAATTCCTAATTACAGTAGCAAGGTGACACCAATTAACCACTACTGATGTAAATAGAATGCATTCCAAAAGATCAGTGAGGTGCATCACACGGTCCGCAGCAGCCGAATAGAATAGAATAGAATAGAGTAGAATAGAATGGGTTTTTCCATCTAAATTGAGCTCCTTGGCTGTTTAAATTCTGGCTTGGCGACTGGCCGGTCACAGTGGTCTGCTGTGTGCGTTTGAGGTGAGTGGCTCTAATTGTGATGAATGGTTTACCCATGTAGCACAGAACAAGGTAGAGGAGAGAAAAAAGAGAGGGAGACAAAATGGGAGGGAGGGATAAAGTTTAATTTGTGTCAGGTTTTGGTAAACCCATTCATCATTTTAGCCTCTCCTCTCCCCTCTCCCTCTGCTTCCTCCCCTCTCCTACTACTTGGCCCTTCTTCTCACACGCACACATCGCCCAGTGGGAGGAGGTGAGCGGTTACGACGAGAACCTGAACACCATCAGGACGTACCAGGTGTGTAACGTGTTTGAGCCCAGCCAGAACAACTGGCTCCTCACCACTTACATCGACCGGCGCGCGGCGCAACGCATCTACGTGGAGATCCGCTTCACTGTGCGCGACTGCGCCTCCATACCGAGTGTCCTGGGCTCCTGCAAAGAGACGTTCAACCTCTACTACCTAGAGACCGACAGGACTGTTTCAGACGGCATCAAAGGGGTGGAGTACTGGGCCAACGCACCCTTCCTAAAGGTAAACACTTTAGGTAAAAAGAGGGGAAAGGGAGTAAAGATATAGTGTTATTTACAGATTTTTAAAAAGCAATAAAAACCCTATCATATCATTGCCTCTTGCATATCTGGAAAGCTTCTCACTGTGGAAGTTTCATTGTGTCCACTTGCACCCATCCAAGTGGAAATTCTCTTGTGTGTCAAAATGGTGACCACTGGACATCATTTTTGTTTTGAGGAAGTCAACAAACTGACAGGGATGTTGCTATGTGCTGTCACACAACGCAAAGACGGCATACTCAACACCTTGGGTCTTGAACGTCGTGGTCTTATCAACTAAAACTGCTGGTTCTTAGCTGGAGACCAAGCTCTCATCACCAGTTCCAATCCTCGACTCGACAAGTTGATGTTTAAGGCCTGTGGTGGTATAACAGAGGGTAAAGTGCAAGCGGTCATTATGGGACTTCCAGGGTATGATCTGAAAATAGCATTTTTGCTGGAAGCTTAAGTGGAAGACGAGAAGAGATTTTGCAACGAGATTAAGTCAGCAATGGTTTTTATTTTTATAAGCAGATTCCAGAAAGTGTTAAATTACACCTTCCTTATATGTCAGTTCAAAAGAATGAAATCCAAACATTGAACCAGTCCAAAATTGATCAGTAAGTAAGTAAAACTGCAACAAAGGCTAAAAGTATTCACAAATCGTTTTGTAGCCGGAAGCCTTAACCTCCACTCGCTATTAGAATTTAACCCGTATTGACTGAATGTGTTTGTGCTTGTTGAGATTCATAAGTCACCTCTCTACTTAAATGTCATGCTCTCATGCATTTGCAATTTCACAGAGACGTTTAATTTTGCCTGGCCACTGTGGAGGTTTATCGGGGGGGAAAGATACAATAACAGCATTTCATAGCATTTGGGCATTAGCGTGTTTACCTGATAGGTAGCAAATCTAAATCAATAAAGAAAACCTTTGTTGAAAATCTTTTTTTCCTTCTTTTTCTCTCTGTCAGGTGGACACCATTGCAGCAGATGAGAGTTTCTCCCAGGTTGATTTCGGGGGCAGGCTGATGAAAGTGAACACGGAAGTGAGAAGTTTTGGGCCTCTGTCCAAAGGCAGAGGTTTCCATTTGGCTTTCCAGGACTTAGGCGCTTGCATGTCGCTTCTGGCCGTCAGGGTATTCTACAAGAAATGCCCCAGCATCGTGCAGAACTTTGCTTTCTTCCCAGAGGTATGAAACAGAGCTAATTGAAATCGGTGGTGATTTTTACGAGAGCTTGGCACAGCCATCGGATGGATATTTAAATAGGATTTTTTAATGATTCTTATTTTGTGCAGACGCTGACCGGAGCAGAGTCCACCTCATTAGTCATCGCCAGAGGAAGCTGCATCCCCAACGCCGAGGAAGTAGACGTGCCCATAAAGCTCTACTGTAATGGAGACGGAGAGTGGATGGTACCCATAGGCAGCTGCAGCTGCAAGGCGGGTTATGAACCTGACAATGGCAATGTGTGCCGAGGTAAATCTGTACATTAACGAGGCCGTGCTAGTTCAAACTGAGCTCGTAAAAAATGAAGATGAAATGAGAACATCAGCAAATACTGCACCGCATCAGTGCATATCAGAGGTGCTGCTGTGTGGACCGAACTGATAATCTGTTCTCAAATCTCTGCTGATGACCTTGCTACAGCAAACACTTAAACACGCTGCACATGACTTTCTTGTTGTTTTGTAGCAAAAGCTAACAATCCAGTGTGACAGCAAATCAATAACCAACAAACACGCGTCTAATATTGAGCCCCAGCAAACATGCTACTGCGGCAATCAATATCTCATAGCATACGTCGACCCCCAACATGGAAATTATTTAAACAGAGGAAATACTATTTTAATCAAAAACATGTCAACTTTCTTTGTTTATATGTCCAAAATATATGATTTTTTTTAATGAATCGAACTGTATATTTGCTGAGTAAATTCTGGAGGACATGCAAGTGCTTTATTAGCTCCAGGAGGGAAAAAAAGTGTGTCAGTTTTGGCAGAATTAACTGAATAATTTCATGCGTGTATATATTTTATGCCCAACCGGGCAGCGCACGATGTTCCATATGTTAATGTTTCTAGAGGCAGACTCGGGTGAACGTGGTGCAGAAATAGCTCCTCTTTCCTCCGTGTTCCAAATATCTCTCCCTCCTTTCCATCCTTTTTATATCTGGCCTTGTTCCCCATTTCCTCTCCGAAGTAGTACCCATCATTTCTTCTTCTCCCTGGAGAGTCTCATTCATTTTATGTGTGTGTTTGTGCGTGCATGTGCGTGTATATGTGGTGACTTAGTGAGTGTGTGGTGGGCGTGTGAGCGTGTGATGTATGTACATATGGTGAAATGATAAGTGAGGCCGCTTCAGCCAATGTTAATTAGTTTAGCGTGTTCTAGTCAGATTAGTCGAGCGCAAATTGGTGGCGAACTGTCACACAGTGTTGGAGAGATAGAAGGGTGTGAGGAAGAATGACGAGAAGGAACAAGTGAAAGGAAAAGAAGAAGCAAAGATAAAGAAAATTAGGGAAAAACCTCTGGAGAGATGAACTGCTAAGTAAGTTTTTTTTTTTTTTTTAAAGAGAACAAACCAAGGACATAAAGGTTAAAACTGTGAGATAAAACAGACAGAGAGCCTAAAGACTGAATAGTTTTTCTTCCTGCCTCTGGTGAAATGCATGCAAGTACATGGACTGAAATGTCAGCTTAGCCTTTGTTGTCACTCTCTCTTTTTAACAGAGAAACTTGCAGCTTTTGAAAGGGGTAAACTCGTCCTGATTCAAAGGAGATCGTGAATACGTCTGACAGTGTTACAGCTCTATAGAAAAACCACTGCTAAAGGACTAAATTATCAGGTTTACAAGATGTTGGCTATATATTAAAAAAATCCTACGGTGTTTAGCCTTACAATAATATTAGCCTCGCCCTATTGCAGCGTACGCTTGCTATAACCAAAGAATGTTCTCATGAGTTCTTATTACTCCTTTATCTGTGTCTTTTTAGAGTAATCGTGATAATAGAAATTCAACCTTGGGCCCAATACCCAGGAAAATAATAATTTTTCAATTCAATGAAAGTAAAAAGACTAAATTATAAGGCTCATTTATTTACTTTTGAATAATAATAATAATAATACTGTATTCAGCTACAACTGTTTCTGTGCTTCTGGTGGCTTGGCTTATTTACAATGCTGATCACTTATTGGTAAGGTAGGCTGTCACTGTTTCTGTCTTGTTGCTTCTAAGAGAGACCTTTCATATTTTTGGACACAGATAATTATCTGAAGCCCGTTTCTGCCACAAAAAAAGAAAAAAGTATCCATAACTCGAAATGTTGAGCCATTTTCTCGAAATTTTGACGTATTAACTCGAAATTTCGACTTAAGTCTAAATTTCGAGAAAAGTAGCTCAAAATGTTGACTTACTTTTCTCAAAATATTTAGTTAATAATTCAAAATTTAGAGTTGGCGCTGCCAATCAGTAATCTACGTGAATGACGTCTTTTCCTAGTTACCCGGAAGCTGAAGCCCTCAGCTACAAATGCTACAGCTAAGCTACCAGTATTACAGCCAGTCATGAATGCACAAATTGCTGATTATTTTCAGTGTGGTTTCACAAATGATGAAATCCTTGTGTTATTAGCTGAATCACATGATGTTACTATCAGCAAACGTACTCTCGAAAGCGCCGATTTGTTGCGACCCTGTTTTGAGTGTGCATTCCACGTAGATTACTGATTGGTAGAGCTAACTAGAAATTTCAAGTTATTTTTCTCAAAATTTCGAGTTAATAAGTCAAATTTTCAAGAAAATACGTCGAAATTTCGAGTTAATAAGTTTAAATTTTTTTGAAAGTACGTCAAAATTTTAAGTTATACTTTTTTTTTTTTTTTAGTGGCGGAAACGGGCTTCCACAGATAATTGTGTTTTCCTGTTAAATTAAAAGTCTCTAACAATGGTACAGACTTATAGACTGATAAGTTTTGTTGCCCAGCTTCAACATTAAGGTTATCGTGTTAGTAGCAGCTACCTGATACATTAAGACTAACTTATCAGACAGCTAATTTGAATAAGTAATAGTTAAACAGCTCATGTTACCATGTGCACCAGCCAGATTAGTGTTCATGGTAACTGTTTGATATTTGAATGTTGTTTAAGTCTTTATATAGACAAAGCTGTCTGTATTTATGATGCATCTGATAAAATTGTTTAGCATCAATTGGCATCCAAGTATCTTTTTTTTGCAAACTCTACCTTAAAAAACTAAAACAAAACATTCTGACATTTTCAGAATTTTGATTTTGAAAGGTTTGGTAAGTATCAGTTCTGGTGACCTCCATATAGCCCTATGACTGTTAAGATAACATAGGCCAGACAAAAAAAGTTTAGAAAACAGGAATGCTCCAAAACACGAGCTCGTAGTGGTTTTAGCTATTTCAAAAAACTTCTGTTTCTATTTTTGAACATGGGCTATCTGTTCCTAAGACACTGCTGTTTTACCGATTAGAAGTTGCTTCTATAAGTTTGATTATTAACACTTATCAATGTTTGTCGTATATGGATTTGAAATGTAAACTTTTTAAGCCTTCATTGTGAGTAGTGCGACTATACAGTATGTTCTTATAGCAGTTCGTGAAATAGTCAATTCAGTTTGATTCGGTTTTATTTATATAGCACCAAATTACAGCAGCAGTCACCCTATGGCACTTGTAAAGACCCCCGAATAATCGAAATAAGAAAACGCCAACAGCCAAATGATCCCCTTGTGCGCAATCACTTGGAATCATTGGGAAGAAAAAACTCCCTTATGACAGGAAGAAACCTGCGGCAGAACCAGGCTCAGTGAGGTCGTGACCGGTTGGGAGGGAGGAATCACAACCTTTAGTCTACTGATTTGTGTTCCTGAACATTAACATGATTTCCTGAGCATGACGTGATCAGTCTGCTCTCATATGTTCTTATTCATGTATACAAAGTGAATACTGTCAACTTGTAAAGCGCAACAAAAAGTCTGCATTTGGAGCTTGAAAATAACACCCAAGTTTGAGACACATCACTTATAAATACACAAGAATATGTTGGTTAAGTGTAGGCATTTATCTCAGTCAGGTGTAGGCACTGAAATGGATTTTTCTAGGGTTCGGGGTTAGGTTAAGAAAAAGATCAGGGTTTGGTTCAAAATACAACATGTGCCATTTCTTCTAAAGCTTTGTTTTCTTCTTTGCCACAATGATGCCTCCCTGCTTTCTCTTAGCAAAATATAAGCTGCTGTGACAAAATATACTTCCTACCAAAATACATTTACAAATTCATGCTCGCTGACACGAAAAAATGTTGCAGTTTATGTCCGTGAACACGGGAAAATAAATTGCTTTTTCATAAGCAGTCTATTTGAGCTTTTGTTTTTGTTGACTGAGATGTAATACACAGTATATCACACATCCTCACTAGACAGGGTGACTGGATGTTCCCGGAGTCATTGGTTAGTTGTTGTTCTGAGACAGTCCTCATTCGAAGGACCAAGTCATTTGTAATTCTTATTGTATAATGATGGTTTGAGTACACAAACCAAAGGCAGACTTGAGGGACGTGGCTTAACACTCTCTGTGAAGGCTTTTTGAGCTTAAGCAGTGATTTAGAGTGTCGTGGGACAGAGCATGTCCTGTCTGTCTTCCTCAGGCTGGCATCTTTTTGGTGTGCTTTTCTGCCAATCAGCTGATAACAACTTGGCAGGAAGCTGGACTCACTATTAGAACAGATGGTCATCTTTTTGTGTGTGTTTTTGTGCGTGTGTGTAAGGCCACAGAGACTGTGTTTATTTTGCACTAAATCAGCATATTGTGCAAACCATAAGGCAAAATTGGCTCAGCATCAAAGTACATCAAAGTGCGCGTGTCTCTTTTAAGTCAATATTCAAGAGCCATGCTTGAAATTCACCACACTACAGATGTATGCACTACCAGTGAATACACACAAACATCCCCTGCTGTGAACTTTAACAATGCCCTGAGTTTTTCAAACCCAGGGGCTTTTAAAACACTCGCGCAAGCACACACATACTCATGCAAGTTTTTAATAATTGATCAGTGAGCCTGTTTGCCAGCTTTAGACAATTGCCATCCGCGTGGTCACTGTGTGACTCCACACAGCTGGCAAAGGGCACAGGTGGAAAAAAGAGAGGAGCAATCTCTTGCTCTTTGTCCGCTTTTAACACTTCATCTCTGTGTTGCTCCGACCTTTACTCCTGTCTCTAGAATGTTCTGTTTTCCTATTCCACTTTATTTCAGATTTCTTCCTTATGTATGAAGAATTTTCTGCACGATTTGAATCCATTTTTTTGCTCTAAATCATATCCTATGGAAATCAAATTAAATTAAATAATCAAAAATAAAATGTAGTCATTCATATGTGAATATTTTTATATATTTACAACAAATCTGGGCATGTTTGCCTAAGAATGTAAACATAAATATATCAATATATAAAT